ATCCGACGTTTTGACTGTGAGTCCCGACCACTACCGCTTGCGCTGTTTTGCTTCATAACTCCGAGCAGAGAATCGTTTAGCAGATTTGGAAGGTAGATTTGAGATCAGCGTTCGAAGGCACATCTAGGCTCTTAACCTCGAATGGCCATGGCGACCTGGAAGCCTTTCCTTGTGAGTTTCGGAATCCAGAACGGTATCATTTTCGAAATACGTGGCAGGACCGGGAGACCTGACCTGTTACAAAGTCAAAGCTGAGGAGAATCTTTCAATGGCTGAACAGCGATTTGCTTTCCATACAAGACCGAAATGTTTTGCTGATTTTTACAGCTTTTCTGCACCTTCCGACCGACTTAGCCACTGATGCTTCTTCAGGTAGTCATTGTAGAACAACCATCTCAGAAGCGGTGTTGCTCAGCATCGCATTAGGATGGAACGGGATAGAAAATGTTACACTGCTACGATGTTTATGAGTATTTCTTTGCCCAAGCCTCTACAGCCTCCCTTCCTAAGAAGGGCAAGCCTCTGTCAACCATATACTTGAAACGTCTGTATGTGGCGGGTTTAATAGTAAAATACACTCGTGCGGATCACCTCCAGTGGGAAAGCACAGCAAATCCAAATCGGCCAACGATTGCCCTTCCGGATAAGGATTTCCTCCAGGCTGTACTCACCAGAGTGAAGCCAGTTTTACCATTCTTATTACAGCATGGTGAATGAAGACAAGGAGATGTATTGAAATGCAAATGTTACTCCTGTCGTGAGGAAACTCACGATAGGCGGAGCATAGGAACAGTGTGGGTATAAAATGATTGTATTGGGAGATTAGAGGGGCTTTTTCTGCTCTGTGCGCTTTCGCGCTCCTTTTGCCTCTCGGTGGTTGCTTTGTGATGTATCTTAGAATGAACATCAATAAAATGTTCGTAGGCATCAACTTGTGAGATGCAAGTAACATTATGGTGCATCGGCCACCACCTTACGAACTCTCGGCCCTTCACCCAGCCGGTCCCCTTTTTACCCACCCCACCTCCCTATACACCCTTTCTCCCTTATCTTTCCGGTATACCGCCCCTTTTCTTGTATTAGGCCTACGTTTTCAGATTAGTGTCTCATATTTCCGTTCTGTTCGTATACGAGGGACACCGAGCTCCTGAGACTCGGTCGGGAGGTCCACGAGGGACGCCCGTGACCTGCGCTTGGTTGCGAATCAATGCGCATTTTCATGAATCTTTTTAACGTGTTTCTATACAGCACACTAGAATCGTAAGGATCTGCGGAAAGGATCATTCCCATGCCACTGTTCGTATGTTTATATTCTCGGGATAAAAGATAGCGCTTCACTTCGCAACATTACGCAACACAAGAATGGCGGCAAAATGTTTTCTTTCTCATCGGATTCCATCAAGCGCTCCCCTATCTCGTCGTGACGCAGTGCTCGCGACAATAGATATACATATAAAAGACCACAGTACCAATCCTCCGTCCCTAGCTGTTACACGAAACGTTTGCTATCGTGTTTAAGGTTAACCACCTATCAGGTTTTATGTCGCGTGCAGTTCTTTCCTCTGCTAAGCAGAGGCTTACTCGCCATTTAAACGATATAACTCATATAATTTCGGAATGCTCGCAATATGACGAGGCGTGGGATTTCCCCAAAGCTCAAAAAGAACTCTACGTATTTACCCATACCCATCATAAACTTGTAAGCACTATCGTAACAAAACTCGAAACCAAACTTGAGGGAATTACGAAAATCTATGAAGAGACCCTATCCCGCATCTCGGACACGGAACCCCCAAACGAAAACGTTATAAAGGAGTTCGAAAACTACTGGGAAGAACGTAAAGGAGAGGAGCTATTAGAATCGGCGCGAGCGTTGATACAGAAGCTCGAAATAAGATTAATGGAGCTCGAAACACAGGAAATGCATGTATCATACGCTGATGAGTTCGATGTTCGTACACGTATGCGCGATGATACTTCTCTTTCCTTCACACAAATTCCTCAAACCTCCTTTTCGCAACCATTGTCGGACATTATGCAGGCCCCACGTCCATTAGGCATTCCGCCTCATTGGTATCGCAAAGAACTTCGTATTCCAGACTTTGATGGCAATCCTACTGAATTTGAAGCATTTTGGGAAATATTTTCGGAACTCGTACATAAACAGCCATACTCGGACATCGAAAAATTAACTATCCTACTAGATAAATGTAAGGGAGAGGCTGCAAGAGCCCTAAAATACATTCCTCGTAAAGCATCAGGTTACATTGATGCAGTAAAACAACTCAAAGAACAATTTCACAATCGAGATCTTAATATTAAGCTCCTACTAGATCAACTCGAACAAATTCCCCAGTCTTCCGAGGACGCTTTTCAGTTGCGAAGGACGGTAAATGACCTCATGGCAGTCATAACACCACTTTCGAGAGCTGAGACACATATTGACGCAATCGAATATAAAACTAAGGTTCTCCATAAATTTCCTTCTAGCATTCAAAAAAGCTTTTATCGAAAGAATATGATGACGCAGCTTCTTGGACTATGGAGAAACTTATGTCGGAAATTCGAAATATCGTTAAAAAGTTAGAAATAACGCAAGTACATTCCTCGAATATTCAACCGAACTACAGTAAATCTACCATTCTTGGTAACGCAGGCGAAATCCTCATCGCAATATCGATGCGCGGCATGCGAAGGCTCTCATAAGCTTCGTTTTTGTAATCGTTATCGAACAGTAGACGAAAGGAAAGATCGAATTCGAACACTTAGAAAATGTTTTAAATGCTTCTCTGCACAGCATCTGTACCAAGATTGTTCTAAGCCACCGTGTCGTAACTGTAATGGTCCACACAATATCGCGCTTTGCAGGCCTGGTCGTAGTTTGAACCGTAGTCGAAGTCGCAGTAGGAACAATTCCTGTCATCGCGACTCACGTACATCAAATGAATCGCATACTCCGTGTGGTACCTCGAAAGAGAGAGGTAGAAGTCGTCATAAGTCTCTGAGATCTCGCACCAACCCGGGGGAGCGGTCCTCCTCTCGCTCCTCTTCCTCCTACTCTCGCACTCCATAATTATTCATCAGACAGATCGCCTTCAACGGAAGCTAGGCCCAAGAAGACGTCAGGCCATCACACGATCTCCAACACCTCTGCCTAGGCGTTCAAGTGGCGGCACGTCTGCTATGGTCGTCAACTCCATATCTACAACGGATCTGACTGACTCCGCATCCAGCTCAGAAGAGGTAATTCACCTTAACAATATATTACGTAAGAGCAGATATTCCCTCACGTTTAATGGTAGCGGTGATAACACTCCGTAATCCAATATCAAAAGAAATGGAGCAAATCAATGCTCTTTTCGATACGGGAGCTACTCGGAGTTTCATCTCCACTTCCCTTGCGCAGAGGTTAAAGTTACCCTCCTTGGGAGAGACTATTTGTCTCGTCTCCACCTTCGGAGGGAAACAGGAACGCAAGCGTTCGCAACAGGTGTCTGCGGACGCTATCGGAATAACAGGCAAACTCCTTCCCATGAAATTTCTCACCACGAACACTTTAACTGACAAAATAACGATTCCTCGTTTGTCGAAAATGGATATCAACTATATACTCCGTAATAACGTTGATGCACATCTATTAAATACGTCATAGGGTGTCCCAAAAGTTTTGAGAAAATTTTGGTCATGAATTTCGCAACCATGTTGCGCAAGAAAGCGCCGAAGCAGAGCCACGGAAAATAGGGCAGGAAAAGGGCACTCTTGGTAGATCGTCAAAACAATAGAACGGTATTGCACTTCATCTTTGGAAGTGAGTTATCATCATTTGAATTATGTCCGACCGACACGACTACCGGCGCCTTCTGCTTCACTACTACCGATCTGGTCACTCCGCCACTCAAGCCCGAAATGAGCTACGTTCTTCGATGGGCAGCAGTGCGCCCTCCCTTCCCACTGCTATAGGTGGTACGCTCGCTTCTCTCGAGGGGAGATTTCCCTCGACGATGCTCCTCGTAGAGGACGCCCACGCTCCTCAAAAACCGACATTGTTCTAGCTTCCGCTCGAAGCAATCCTTCTCAAAGCCTGAGGGAAATGGAAAGGACGACTGCTACTTCTCGTTCCACTATCCACAGGATTCTGCGCCGAAGTCGCCTTCGTGCAGCGCTCCCTGGAGTTATCCCCCACTCCCTTACTGAACACGAGCGTCGAGTGCGAGTCGATGTCTGCCAGAAACTTCTCAACCGTAAACGAAGGACGACCTGGACGGACTTCATTATCGCTCAGGATGAAAAGTGGATATCTTATGAAAATCCACAGGAAATTTGGCTACCAGTGGACGTGAAGCCTCAACCCGTACCAAAGCGTGGTGCCCACGCCAAAAAGGAGATGATATCATTCTTCTTCTGCTCCACCGGCTGCATATACTACGAGATCTTACCTGAGGGTACTGCGGTGACGGCAAGAGTATTCTGTGAGCAACTGCGAGAGATGGTGTCTCGAGCCCCCAGTTCACACCGACTACAAGGAAAGTTTGTAATTGTGATGGACAATGCTCGACCACACCATGCGAGGACGACGACGGAGGAGCTGGAAAGACTTGGGATCACCTGGCTACCCCACCCTCCATATTCACCTGATCTTAGTCCTTGTGATTACCATGCTTTCAGAAGCCTGGAGGCCTACACGAAAGGGAAAAAATTCAACAACCGTCAGGAGGTCAAGCATGCAGTGGATGAATGGATCGCTTCACGCCCTTCTTCTTTCTGGATGAATGGCATCAGTGCTCTGCCCAATCGATGGAGGGACGTCGTGGCTAAAGAGGGCCACTATCTCGATTACTGATCTCACCTTTTTGTTGTAGTATTTTTGTGTTGAATAAACCAAATAAATTTTCCAAAACTTTTGGGACACCCTAATTAAATACGTCGGATGTCAAAATCTTCCCAGAAGTTTTGATTGGCATTGATCATTACAATGACGTTATCAATACTTCGGAACCTAGCATCACGTCACCCTCCGGGTTACTCGCTGTGCCTACATTCTTTGGCCACGTTATAACGGGAATGGGAAATGCCGACGCATCATCAAAAAACTGGCTGACAAGCAATGCATTCCTGTCGTTAGCGCAACCAGAACACGAAAATTTCGATCTTTCCGCAATGTGGGCCCTCGAAAATTTCGGAATAACTGACCCATATCGGAGTCGGACGAAAATCAGGAAATTCTACAGAATTTTTACGACACTATCGAAATAAGGAATAAAGAAATATTCGTGAAATTCTCTTGGAAAATGAATAGAATGGACTTCAGTGACAACTACAAAGTCAGCTTCACCAATTATATAATCCTTACGCAAAAATAATGAAGTTTGGGCGGCTTAGTAAAATAATCGACGAACAACTCGAACGCATTATTATAGACGACGACGTTCCCAAATCAGATAAAGGCAATGACTGCCCCATATATTATATTCCTCACCAAGCAGTGGTGAAACCCACAAGCACCACTACAAAAGTAAGAATCGTACTCGACGCCAGCTCGAAAAGAGTAGGCCAATTATCGCTGAATGACGTACTTTACAAAGGACCAACTATTCTTCCAGATCTCCTGGGTATCCTCATTCGGAAACCACCTGATCATAGGGGATGTCGAAAAAGCATTTTATATGATCCACCTTCAAGAATCAGAACGTAATGCAACACGTTTCCTATGGTTAAAAGATACCTCAAGACCACCTACATCCGAAAATATACGTGAACTTCGTTTTACAAGAGTGCCATTCGGCACCAAGACAAGTCCCTCGTTGTTAGCGATGTCTATAAAATTTAATTTATGCTCGAAAGAAATAGTAATAAAGCGTTATGTAAGGAGATTGCTCGGAATCTTTACGTAGATAACATGATCCTCAATGCGGACACAGTAGAAGAAGCTGAGTCGAAATACAAATTAAGTAAAAAAATTTTCGAGGATATGTCGATGAACATAAGAGAATTCGCAACGAACTCAGTTCAGTTACGGTCTCGCATCCCGGAAAAGGATAGATCGAATGCTGCAAAGGTAAAACTATTGGGCATTCTCTGGGATACGGGAAAGGACCACCTACTAGTACAGTCGAAACTCGAATTTCAGAATAATCCAACAAAACGCAGTGTTCTTCGCACTATCCACTCCAATTTTGATCCGTTAGGATTCCTAATCCCACTCTAGCCCAAATAGATTGCGCCACTCATTCGTTCGCTATACCCTGTTCACAGAATTCGAAAACAACGGTCGTACGCTTTTCCTTCTCTGTTGCCCAGATTAAGGAAATATGCAAGGCTCGTTGTGGTTCCAATACAGTAATACTCGAACTCGCTGGAACTCTACAATTTATTCGTCATTTCATCCATTTCCCTTATTTCTCGCAACTCATAAAATTAGATTCGGAACCTGATGATGAGTCAGAATTTTTCTTTCCTGATATTTCCGTACTTTAGGAGTCATCAGAAAGTACTTTGTGTACTCCTTCATGATTTTCGTTACGCCATTTGTACTACTAGCTATGATACTAACTTTATGTTCGTCCTCTTTAAAACAGCCTTCATCGCGCAACGGTTCGGCATGTTCTTTGATATTTTCGTATGTTCCATGTCTCATTCCAGTGATCGCAATGCTGAAGCTCATAAAACTTCCTTTTCGCCTCGCCGTATACGCAGTTCACTCGTTATATAAGATTTATGTTCGAAATTTCGCGAAACATTAATTGCATTTCTAGAATGGCACGACGGCATGGAGCACGATTCGGATTCCTCGGCCATCAATCCCCGGTAGTCAAGGATCGTAAAGAGGAAGCATTGGCTAACTCGATCGAATTCATCAAGGAAACCGTCACTAAACTTACATCGGAACTCGATTTTCTCCGACGAGATGCAATGGAGAAGGAGGTGGGCAATACTGTAATCACCTCGTAAAACATAGCTACTTCCTGTCCTTTTTTCAAGAAGACGATAGCGATGTTAGCTTTTCAAAATTGGTCACGCTTGGGGAAACGACGGAGACGTCGTCTCCGGGTTAGTGAGGCAATAGCATAATGTTCGCAACAATGTTCTGATTCCTTCGAACTTTTTAGGTCATCGCAAAAAAAGCAAAGGACAACATCCTCATGGTTGAAAGCCAGTTGCAAGCATTACTCACGATAGCGCCAGGACCTTCTATTTTCCAAACTTCTTCGCAAGCGAACCGAGACCAGGCAGAGAAGACATCGGAACAGCAAGAACCCCCTCTCATCAAACGCGGCCGTTGTAA